GCTCAGGAAAGCGGTCCGAGGTAGTTACGTTCAGGCACCAAAAATGTAGTTAGAGACATCGGATCTTTTTGAAATTTTAACACAATATTTCTACATATATATACATTCGAAAAATGATAAAAAAAAAAAAATAAATTTTTTTAAATTGCAAAGTAGAAGGTCCCCTTAATAAACATTTATTTTTACTTTCCCGAAAACATATTCAATAAATTATATAATTTCTTTTTTTATGATTTCTTTATTTACACAATTACATATATATATATATTCATATGTATATATACAGGAGGTATCGGTGTAGGATTGATATACGTTCCCGCCGTTATTACAACCGGCTTTTACTTCGAAAGATGGCGTGCATTGGCTACCGGTATTGCAGTTTGTGGATCTGGAATTGGTGCCTTTTTATTAGCACCAATTTCGGATTTACTTATAAAGACTTACAGTTGGCGTGGTGCCCTACTTTTTCAGGCAGGTAAGTTCAATATATTTATACTTATGTAAATACACTCATATATATATATATATATATATATACGTATGCTAAATGATAAGCGTTGTTTTTTTATCGAATTAATTTATTATGCAATTAAGACAAGAATCTTCTTCTTTAAAAAAAAATCAAAAACATCTTATCAGATATACATATATTTAATTATTTCTACAAACTTAACAATGATTAATCGGAGAGTGTGTTCAAAAATCAATCATAAATTTTGTTCAATGATTTTGAACATTATTTATACTCATTAAACATGAAAAAATATGAAATTATAATGTAAATTGAAGAAATTTTGTTTCATTTTACTGTAACATTTCTAATTATGTATTATATTTATTATATAATATCGGAATTTTGAAGATATATTCGAAATACGATTTTATTGGTTAGGTTATGCAATTGAATTGCGCCATATTTGGTGCCATGTTTCAATCATTGAAACCAATCAATAAATTTTCATATTATTTATACTCATTAAACATGAAAAAATATGAAATTATATATAAATTGAAGAAATTTTGAAGATATATTTGAAATACGATTTTATTGGTTAGGTTATGCAATTGAATTGCGCCATATTTGATGCCATGTTTCAATCATTGAAACCAATCAATAAATTTTCATATTATTTATACTCATTAAACATGAAAAAATATGAAATTATAATGTAAATTGAATAAATCTTGTTTCATTTTACTTTAATATTCATATATAACATCGAAAAATTTGAAGATATATTAAAAAGAATATTCGAAATACAATTTTATTGGTTAGGTATGCTGTTGAACTGCGCCATATTTGGTGCAATGTTCCGTCCATTGAAACCAACGAGAATAAAGATTAAACAAAATCAAGACAACGATGTTATCGAAGCTAACACAACATTTATCGGGAAAGGTACTTCGACTACCTCATTGCATTATGTCCAGTCAAACAGAATGGGACTTTTTGGGACTAACAACAACACCGAGTATCCAACAGCTGCACAACTTATTGGCAGTAGTCCTAATATAGTAAAGTAATTCTAACAAATTATTTATAATCCTTGTTTTTTTTTTCTTTTATTTTTATTTTCAATATTTAATTTTCTTTTTTTTTTTTTAATTATTTACACTCCTTGTATTCTTTTTTTTTGTTTTTTTTTTGTTTTTTTTTCTTTTCTATATTTGATTTGTTGTTTCCTTTTTTATATTTTATTTTTTTATTTATTTCTTTTTCTATATATTTTTTTTTTTTTAATATAATTAATTATTTTTCGAACTGATTATACAATCGATGGTTTAGAAATGATTTTTGTTGTTGTTATTGTTATCGTTGTTTTTTAAAATTCTGTTTTAATTTGAAGTGCATCAAAATCGATGTTATCACTGCACAAGGTCAACGCGAATTCAAGAAATTCTGAAAGAAAATTAAATAACACCGAGAAAAGATTATCCGTACCAATTTATCCTGATTTAGCCGGTGATCAAGAAGATACCAAATCAATCGAAGAAGAGAACAATCTTCTTGGTGGTGACATGGACAGGCTTAATGGTAAAATACCAACGGTGAGAAAATTAATATTATTTATATAATAATAATAAATTATTATTTAATATAAATTTGTTATACGATATTCATTTTTCTTTTTTCCAATATAAATAATTATTATTTGAAACGTGTATCAATTGTTTTTGTAAGTCAATTATTGTGTATGAATGTAAAGTAAATCTACGTAGGATTGTTGTTGCTTTATATAAATGATTATTGGAAATGATTTTGACAGATACGAAGACACACGATCAATGGTCGTAGACCTCGTGCAGACTCGGACTGCAGCCAGAAATCTCTTCGAATGAGCAACAGGCGAAATACTCCGAGTAAGGACCCCCAGAGACCATTTTATAGAGATGATATCTTCTATGGAGGATCTTTAAACAGATTAGCACACTACAAGTCTCAAGTAAGCTAAATATTATTCATTTTTTTTTCTTTTTTTCCAACACGAACAAACCTATCATCAATTTTACTTCATTTTCCTTTCACCTTCAGCCTCACATTTTCTTTTTTTTTTATTTATCATCGATCTGAACGTAAAGTTAATTTTGTGTCTTTTTTTTTCTAATAATTTTTTTTTTCTCTTGACGATGAATTTATTTTCTGATCTTCAATGTTTTTTTTTTTCTTGACGATGAATTTACTTTCTGATCTTTAATATTTGTTTTTGTCTTTTTTGACGATGAATTTATTTGTTGGTCTTTAATCTTTGTTTTCTTTCTCTTGACGATGAATTTATTTTCTAATCTTCAATGTTTTTTTCTTGACGATGAATTTAGTTTCTAATCTTCAATGTTTTTTTTTCTTGACGATGAATTTATTCTTTGGTCTTCAATGTTTAATATTTTTTTTCTTGACGATGAATTTACTTTCTGATTTTTAATATTTGTTTTTGTTTTTTGACGATGAATTTATTTTCTGATCTTCAATGTTTTCTTTTCCATGACGATGAATTTATTTTTTGATCTTTAATATTTGTTTTCATTTTCTTGACGATGAATTTACTTTCTAATCTTTAATATTTGTTTTTGTTTTTTGACGATGAATTTATATTTTTGGTCTTCATTGTTTGATTTTTTTTTTCTTGACGATGAATTTACTTTCTAATCTTTAATATTTGTTTTTGTTTTTTGACGATGAATTTNAAAATAAAATGTCATACGATACGTTTGAATAACAAATTTTCTTCGATGATTTACTTTCGGTGTCGTGTGGTATAAAACTTCAGTTTCTTCTTTAAACAATTCAAACTGACAAGAAATATTATGTATATATATATATATATATATATATATATATATATATATATATATATATATGAGTAACGATGGGGGGGCGTAACACAGGAGAATGTATGTTGTTACGATAATGGGTATAATAATGTAATCTCTTGGGATCAAGAACGAGTAAATGGGTATCGTGTAAATATGCTTCTATTTTTCTTTGTTAAATTTTAATTTCATTTATTATTAATTTTCACCTTTTAAGAATTGTTTAAACCTTTCAAATTTAACATTTAGTTAGTATTGTTATTAAATTGTTATTAAATTAATATATATATATATATATATATAATTATTTTATTATATTTATTATATTATATTATATTATAATTAATATAAATAATTCTAATTAAATAAATGTAAATTAATATAATAATAACTTATTAATTAAATGTTATGAAATATTATTTGAAATATTTACGAATTTATTATAAGAATTTTTAATTTTTAATTGAATAATAAAAATCAGTCCGATACACACGTGTCTTTAAGTCAACGAATTACCTTATACCGCCATCTGATAGAATCTTATCGAACTAACAGAGATAATCATGACTCTTTGTTAATTAATAAATAATTGGCAATAAAATAATATTGCGATTTTAAATTGTGATATCAACTATCCTATCATTCAAGTTGGATGAAACTGCACAGAGTGTGCAAAATTTTATTGAAATCGGTTCAGTAGTTTAGGAGTTCATTGCGGACAAACAACGTCACACGTTATATATATATATATATATATAACACAAAAGTGTTCTTTTTTTCTCTATACATTTAATCAATTTAATAACACATTATAAATCTTCAATGACTCGGTAGTTATTATAATAGGAAATATATATATATATATATATATATATATATATATATATATATATGTATATGTGATAAACGGAAACTCTAATTAGATTTAAAATAAAATAAACAAACAAACAAATATATATATATATATATATATTTACCTATATCCAATTTATACGTGAGTATTCAAAAGTTAACGTGAGATAAATGACGATACTAATAAACTTTATTTCTAACGAAAAATAAAGGTAATAAAAATTTCTTTTTCTTTTGATCTTATAATTTATAAATCATCATTAGTATATTATAAATCATCATAAGTATATACATTGCGTGTTAGTTTACCATCAGACAATTTATAATTATCGGTTAAGTCATCGTCAGAATTAAGTGAAATAATTATTTGAATATTGAACAGAACATTCTGACAGTTTATTAGAATCATTGTGAATAAATGATTTACGAAATAGTGAAATTTAAAAATTGCAAGAAAAAATACAAATTGAACAATTAAGATGAATTTAAATATGAAAAAAAAAACAAACAAAAAAAGAAAATATTATTAAAGTAATGAAAAATATTTACAATATTGACAAGAGGAAAAAGTTTCATGTGAATTGAGAAATTTGAATTTACTATTTCAACAAAAGTTTGACAAAACAAACGAATTTATTTTTGAATCGACCATAAAATCATACGTGCGTGTCCCATTCCATTCGAATTTATTTTCCGAAGCCTCGAATGACCTTGACCTTTCGTATAAACATCTTCCTCTTTGACCTTTGTGCATTCTAGAGTATAATTGCAAACGTGTGAGTGAGTGGGAGGACACGATGACATGTCTTAAGACTCGTTTCGTAAATTTCTGACCTGTTTTTCTTTTTTTCTATTCTTTTTCTTCTTTTTTATTTTTTTTTATTTTTTTTTACATTGTCATTTTATAAAAGATAAAATATCCTATAATTAAATATGACGATTTAAAACCTAACCTAATCAAACCTATCATTATTAAGAGAGTAACGAATTTTTGAAAATAAAAAAAAAAAAAACAAACAAAAAGCAAAAAAAATTGTTTGCTCGCTGTAGATATAAATATAAATATACATTTAAATTATGAATTATTATTATGATGATAAATGACAAATGATTACATAGTTAACCTAAAAAAAAAGACCAAAAAAAAAAAAATAAAAAGAAATGGTCAAAATATTTCCAATTTTGATAAGATGTTAAAAGAACAGTTCACCTGTTTAAACATTTACATACGAAACACTCTCGAATTATTAATAGTACATATATATATATATATATATATATATATATTATTATTATTATTATTATTATTATCGATTAAAATTCTTGTCAATCCTTTTCATTTTTTTTTGGTTATGAGCCATTTTTGTGTGCATCTTTTATTTTTGCTAGACACAATTATTGAGCTTTACTACTTAGCCCTTTTAAATTATTTACATTAACTACTTAATGTATAAATTTGACAAATTATATTTTTGTTAAATTGTTATGAAAATAAAACGATAATAATGCCTATACTTATGACGACATATTTGTATGTACGTATATATTTTTGTACGTTGTGTGTGTGTGTGTGTATACATACTACGTAAATCAATTCAATAATACGAAAGTGAAATATCTGCGGTTTACATTATTATTATCAGTAAACGGTTTTTTTTTTTTTTTTTTTGATAAAATTAATATGCCGATGTATTATCCAACTAAAAGAGAATTTCTTTTTTTTTTAAAATATGAATTTACATTTCTACATCGAAACGAACCATTTCTAAAAAAAAAAAAAATAAAACTTAACCTAAAAATAAAATACGGTTCATTTATTTTCCACTAAAATATCAAATATTATTCAATATAATTATATAAATTTGCAACCAATGAGTGTGTTACTTATGTTAACATATTAAATATTAGTGAACATTAATGTCATTTGTAAGATCAAATGGGAAAGTGGTGGGGGAAAGTGAAACGTGTTATGACGAAAATTATCTTCATGTTCTTTTTTTTGAAACATATTAATATTATTTTTCATCTATATTTGAATTCCAATTATTCCTGCTTGAAAAAATATTACGAATTAAAAAAAGAAATTTTGGGTATTTAAAATTTAGGTTTTTTTTTTTTGTTTTTAAATATTATAATTGTTGTTTATTTTTATCTTTATATTTAATATTTTATTTATTATATTTATATTATATATTTAATAAGATTAATTGTTAAATAATTTTTGTATGTGTTTTGCATTTTTTTTTTTTTTTTTAGATATTTGGAGACGACAATGGCATCGCAAGAAAATAAGATGGACGAACTGGTCACAAAAACGTTTCAACAAAATGGAGGAAACATTAAAAAAGAAGAAATACAACTCGATGATCTTAATGATAATAACAATGAGGTGATTATTTTTTTATTATTTATCATATTTTTATTATTATATTCTGTATTTTATTATTTATATATATATATATTTTTTTTTTTAATTTATCAAAAAAAGTTCTCATAATTTTTTATAATTACTTTTTTTTTTTTTATCTTCAATCGGAAAACTTTAACTAATTTCTGTCATGACAGGGCTAGTTTTTTCTTTTTTTCTTTTTTCTTTTTTCTTTTAATCAACTTAAATTCGATAAAATATAGAAATCGTGTTCTTTATACGATGACCTTGACCGTAACATTTCGCCTATCTTCTTAACGATCAAAAAATAAAAAAGAACAAGAGAACACGATCGATTTAAAATAATCAACATTTTATTTTGAAAAGAAAGAATTTATTATATTATTCTGTTTTTATATTTTATTTCCGATAAAAAAATAAATTATACTACGATGAGATAAATAAAAATTCGTTGTTAAACTTGAATGAATATATTTACAAAATGAAAAACAAATGTATTGATACAAAAGAAAAAGAAAAAAAAAAGAAAAAAGGAAATAAAAAATACAGAGAGATGCAATGATGTAAACATTGCAATAAAAAATTTAAATATTTATCTAAAAACAAAATAATATAATAAAAAAAAATAAAAAAATACAATATTAATTTAAAGACAAAAAAAAAATATGAATTACAAATTGTACAAGTATAAATAATAAATAAATAAATAAAAAAATAATATGAAGATATGGGGAAAGCAAATGGTATCTACAAACACAAAATAATAAAAATGACAAAAAAAAAGAAAAAATAATAATTATGATGTTATAACAAAAATTTAATAAAAAAAAAAAAAAATATACAAACCATAAAAAAGAAAAATCAATGTACAATCCAACAGAGTATCGAGGTCGATATGGTGGTACCACCTGATGGAGGATGGGGATGGATGATAGTTGCAGCATCCTTTCTTTGCAATTTAGTCGTAGATGGGATTATATTCAGTTTTGGGGTTTTCCTAAACCACATAACGGAGGCATTTAACGTTTCCCATGCCAGCGTAGCATTGGTTGGATCACTGCAGACAGGATTTTATCTGATGGCCGGTTCGTAAACGTTTATATTTTGCATATTTTTTTTTTATAAAACTTTCAATATGGATACGAGAATACCTTGTTTCTCTTTTTTTTTTTTCACAAAAAAAAAAATACGACGACAAAAATGTATTTCATAAAACAGGTTTTTGTGTCGGATAATGTAAATTTAGATTAAAAGATCTTAGATCAAGTAATAACAAATTTTAATCTCGGTGCTTTTTTTTCTCTCTTTTCTTTTTTTTTGGTAACATTGCCTATCCAAATTATAGATTATTATAAATTATTTTGCAATTCGATGCAATTATATTATGATAAATTATGTTAATTGATTATATCTATTGGAAAATATGCCTTCCTAACGTGGCATTTCTTTTAGGCATCTTTTAGGTTAGAAATTTAATTATATAATTGTACAATTCTTTTTTTTTATATTATAATATTTAATTATTTATTACAATTTAAATATATATATATATATATATATATATATATATATATATATATGTATATAATTTTATAATTTTTTTTTTTAGTTTGTTTATTTATAATAATATTATATATATTAGGTTAGGTTTTATTTATATATTGGGATCCCTGGCAGGGGCATGGCGTAGCAACTTTGATCTATCTACTCTAATTTAGAATTTATCCACCAGATAGCGTATTCAAGTGCTAGAGATCCCCCACGTGATGTAGAAACTCGACCTATCTACTCTAATTTTGAATTTATCCACCAGTTAGCGTATTCAAGTGCTAGAGATCGCAATATTAGGTTATTAATTATGAAATGTCTGATTATTCGGATTATTTTCATCTCAAAATCAGACATTTCATATTTAATGACCTAATTTATTATAAATTTTTACAATATTAAATATTTTATATATTTATATTTAAATTGTAATATAAATTCAATGTAATATATATATGTATGTAATTATTAATATTTATTGTGTAATGTTTGTTTTTTATTTTTTTTTTAGGACCATTCGTATCCGCATTAGCGAACAGATATGGGTTTAGGCTAGTAGCTATATTGGGTAGCATACTTAGCTGCATCGCTTTTGTCCTTTCATACTTCAGCCCGTCCATAGAGTTTCTTTATGTTTCTTACGGTGTTCTTGGTAAGTTATAGTTATCATCTCTTATTGCGAAAGTTATACTTGCGCTAGCGTGTGTTTCTAACATTTTTCAAAACTTTTCATCGTTTCCTTTTTTTCTCGTTATCAAATCAAAAAAAGAGAGTAATAATAATAATACAACATATATTGTTTTTTTTTTATTCTTTGCAAGCTGCCTTAGATGAAAAGTTTGTCATTACACCCGTTATTAAGGTAACAACGTGAAATTGTATTTTAGATAAAAATAAGAAAAAAATAATATAATTAATTACAGTTAGTTTCATTGATAGATAAATATATAGGTATAGTGTAAAATAATATTAAATAATAATAATTATTATTTTAGGTTTTAACCTAACCTTAAATTAACCTAATTTTAATAAAAATTATTATATATATATATATATATATATTATAATATAAATATATATTTGAGGTTAGTTTGTAATAGTAGTAATATATATATATATATATATATATATATATATACATACTGCAACTATTACAAACTAACCTAAAATTAAAATTAAGGGGACCTTCTACTCTGAGCACCTAAAAAAAAGGCTATTTTCGCGAATTTTTTCCAAGAAAACTATAAAAGATATCGATCTAAAAGTTGTTGGGTTTGTTAAATTGAGTCTTAAACTATATAAATGAATTTTTATTTTTTCATTTTAATTAATTTTTTATTGCAAAAACAGTAG